GAGCTCCAATTGTAAAGTAAAATAAATCAATACATACAAAATTTAGTATGGATTACAAACGTTAACTGTTTTAACTATTGCCTTCCTGCTACTTAAGCAGACACAAAGCATTGTGGGAAATGAGAACCGTGACAAGGTCATATCTTCTCAATAAGTGTGTTTATCTGGGAGGGGTGCTGTTGGATAGATCACTGTGTTGTGATTCATTGACAACCAAACCTTCTGCTGTTCAAGATAATAAGAAAGCACTATTAGTATTATAAGTAGTGATTGGGAAGCAGCTGCTGACGGAACAAAAATAATGAATGATTTTACACACGTTTGTGTACATGTCTGTTGCAGTTTAATGAACCTTTCAGAATATAATTTCTGGATGTAAATCGATCAACTGATACAGATTTGATTATTTTTCAGTCGTCTACTGAAGACTTCGTCACGTGTCTTACCGTTTGCCCTGCAGACTGAGAGAGTTGAGGCAGAACAAGAGGAGCTGTCCATCTCGGAGGACGGAGGAAAAGCAGGAATCCTCTGTGGAAAGAAGGGCTGAGGGAATGCCATGAGGCCAGACCCCGGCACACAGCAGACCGTTCCCCCAGTCCTCAGACTCCAGGAGGGACAAACGCTGCTCGATCACCAGCTGAGCTTGCTAATGGAGAAGGAACATAAACTGTTCAGTCAGCTGTTTGAGAAAAAAAATACACTGAAACAAACATTAACAAGCGCAGACTTTGAAGTGTCTGGAGCAAATTTCACAAATTTTCAAAATAAAATTACAGAAAAAAAACTTCTAGTAATAAATATTTTACTACAAATAATTGTAACCACAAGTCAGACTAATGAGGTGCTTCCCAAATGAAGGTACGAAACTGCAAACCTTTATAGTAAATCACAACTTTACTGTGAAGTTTTTCTTTTCAATGAAGGGGAAACAACAGGAAGTTTAGTCAGTGATTGTTAAACCTGTTCATCTTTGACAGTAACTGTAGGGACTGTTGTCTCAYGTCCTTATTACCATTTATACATGCAGACATAATACTGTGGAAAAGTAAAATGTTTCTTTAATTGCAGATGAGAATACAGTAATTGGACTGAAAAGAGTGAAATTATGAGCTTATTAGGGCTGGGTATCAAGACCAATTCTCTAAATCGATTCAATTTTGATTCATTAAGTTCAGGATCAATTAATCACGATTTGATTCGATTCAATTCAATTCAATTAAAGGAAAATGTTTATTGATATTGATACTGATCACCATTTTTTCTCTTCAACATAAACAACAGGTTTTAAGGACAAACTTTTAAAATTAAACTGTTTAATCTAGAAAGAAAACTGTCACAAGTTTAAAAGGTTTTAAAGTAAAAAGGAATTTCAGGTGACAGTTTTGTTGGATGCATT